GTGTGGCGTTGTTACTTACTAAAAGCGGTCTGAAGCCCATGAGCATAGTATGCTCGATGCCCGATGCGAAAAGCTCTGGCGGCATGAGTTGAAACATCTTGCTGACGCCTTCCACATGTATCAACCAACTTGACTCTTGGGTTGGCGACAGTACCTGTCATATGTCATTAGCCTTTGATTGAACTAACCGTTTCAGAAGAACGCCAGAAAGATCAGAAGACAGTCGTCGAAGAGATGGGCGAGATTACCTCCGTCAGTGCCAAACACATAACTGCAGCTACAAGTTCGCTTCTGTATGTGTCTCCCACAGCTGCAAGACTTACTCCCAAAAGACGGAGACTATCCTCGTATTGCGCGACTACTGCGTTGAGACAGTCTCTACGCTCTCGATAAGCGGTGATAGCAAGTGCCAAAGCGCTCACGGCCGAGTATAAACACTGAGAATACGGTCCAGTCATATCGGCAGTCAGTTCAGGGAGGGCCTTGGCCCAAGAGCCACAAAACCATGAGCATTGTTCAGATGCATGTGTCGCATTACATGGTAGCTCTTGGACGGGGATGAAATTGCGCAAGATCAACGATACTTTCTCTCGAACGATGGAAGGATCTGGAGGATAAGCACCATGCGAAGGTGGTAAGTCGCTCGATGTGAAGGTGGCCTGCTGGGGAAGTCTAGTCGACTCGTCTTTAGCCTGAGTACAACCCGATTCGGCATCGGAAGGACATTGCGCATCCACTGGGAGAGGTAACTTTGCCCGCGGAGCCGATTTCGGACGCGCCCTTGGCTTTACTGCCGTTTTGGTCGCGTCGAAGGGTACAAATAAAGCGTCCGGGTACCCTTCGCATGTTCGCTTACTGAAAACACATTGAGTGCATGCTGGACGCTTGCCATCGCACTTTCCGATAACGAATTAGATTAGTCGATACTCCGAAAGTAGGGAACCACGCAAACATACCTGAAGTTTTCGTTTGCGGCAAGTATCACAGAGATTCTTTTTCCTGACCTTCATGGCAGAGGTACGCGTCCGTGAGGGAACGCGATATGTTACCGCAACCGGAAGGTATCGATTGGCTTCGGGGTTTTACTCCCGAATTGAATAGCCTAGGGTGGGGCACTACCATGAAATCTGGTATAGGATGGAAATAGCTAGGGATGCGTTGACGCAACGCGGAGGGTGGCAGCTGAGACAGCGCCCAGCAATGATGTAGGTGTTGTGTTTATCCAATGAGAGGAGGATATGTGGGTCGGAGTTCGCTGCTTCGTTCGGCTTAGCGCTTGCGGGTACAACGCTAATACCCCGGGTATCGTCCGTTATGTTTTTACACTCTACCAGAACTCATCAAATCATGGAAAAATTCTCTGATGCTTATTAACTTTGCTGATCAAGTAATCATCGCACCGTTCGCCGATGTGCGAATTGCCCTAGGCCGTATGTCACGATGGCTCTCTTTGAAGGTGCGACTTGGTATAAAGCCAACCACTGCGTTCCACTGCATGGAAGATTGATACCCAGGTACTGATCTATCATCACTCTACTGTTCAAAGGACGTTCAATATCCCTATCACAATCATGCCGGCCTCCACCTTCAAGAACAAAGTCACCATCACCCACATCGGCACCGCCACCGCCATCCTCGACATCGACGGCATCACCTTCCTCACCGACCCCTTCTTCTCTCCCGCTGGCACCGAGTTCAACGGATCCGCAGCCATCCTCAAAGTCCATGAAGACCCAGCTTTGAAACTGGACCAACTACCCCACATCGACGCCATCCTCCTAAGCCATGAGAACCACCCCGACAACCTCGATGACTTAGGACGTCGACTCGTCGACGGCCGCCACGTCGTAACCACCAACGATGGCGCGAAGAATCTCGCACCGCGTCCGAGTGTCCTCGGCTTCAGCGACTGGCAAGAAAGAGACGTGCGGATCGCAGGGACTACTTTCCACATCACTGCTACGCCCTGCAAGCACTGGCCCGGACACGAATGCGTCGGCTTCGTTCTACACACCGAAAACTTCGGCGTCGCAGCAGACGGCCGTCCAAACGCAATCTACTTCTCCGGCGACACAGTCTACATTGAAGAGCTCGCGAAGATTGCGGAAAAGTACCACATCACTGTCGCTATCATGAACTGCGGTAAAGCGACCTTCTATGAGTTCACCGACGAAGGTAAACCGGGGCAGCCAGGCGATGCTTTGCAGATTACTATGGATGGTCGACAAGCGGCTCATCTGCTTAAGGATCTAAAAGCTGATGTGTTGGTGCCTATGCATTATGAGTCGTGGGATCATTTTAAGCAGGGTGGTGACGGGCTTGCAAGGGAGTTTGAGGAGGAGGGGGTTTTGGAGAGGGTGAGGTGGTTGAAGCCTGGTGAGGCTGTGGAGATTATTTGAGCTGTAGGCGGAAGAAGGCTACGATAGTGTGTTTAGAGATGTAGTAGTAGTAGTAGTTGGGCCTTACATGTTTTGAGAGTTGTAGAATGTTGTAGTGATGATGAATATATCTGCGCTATTTCTTAAGTGTCCAAAATGACTTTTGATCTCAAAAACCTGTATCCTGTCCAAATCGAAAGCCAAATGGTAGACGATCCAAGAAACACGCGCATGTCTCCCCCTTCAGCGCATCACAGCAATCATCACATTTCTTCCACCCAAACCCCGCGTCATCTCAGCAGCAGCAACGCAACCCAACGAGAAATCTCTGCACTCTCTCACAATTTCTTCCAGCGACCAAAACACCGTCTGCTGTGTATATGAAAAACGCAGTGGGTCGGCTTTTGACACCATATTCAGCCTAGCGCCACGATCATCTAGACCAGGAGTTTGCTCATCTTCGGGCAGAACCATCCTTTAATGCTGATTATCAATCCTTAGAGCTCGCCGATGAGTGAACAAATCTCTCATCTCGTACGTGCATGTCCGTGATGGGAAAGTATATATAGTTTCGAGTATCCTGATAGTTGGTATCACGCACCCGCTAGAGCATCCCAAGATCGACACTTTCTACTTGGCAATCTTGACCAAAGTAAGAACATGATGTTTGGAAGAAAGACCATGAACGACCATGAGGGTAAACTCTCTCCGGAAACACCAAATCATGGCGAACCGAAACACGAAGACACCGAATCAGCCACCCTACCATCCTTAAGCACAAGCATCGAGGAACAACCTGGCGACGGAGTTGTCGCTCAAGAGCCACCAGAAGGCGGTTTAATAGCATGGCTAGCAGTCCTCGCATTCTTCCTCGCAATCATGAACACATGGTGCGTCCCCCTCTCCCCTCCCTACACACACCCACTCCACCCTCGCTGACAACCACCACCTTCACAGGGGCATGATAATCTCCTTCGGCGTCTTCCAAACCTACTACGTAACCACGCTCCACCAAACCCGTTCCACAATCGCGTGGATCGGCTCCCTAGCCGTCTTCCTCCTCTTCTTCACCGGCATCATAAGCGGGCGCCTTACAGACGCCGGATTTTACCGCTCCGTCACCTGCACAGGCGCCTTTCTCGTCGTGCTAGGCACATTCATGACATCCCTGTCCGAGACATACTGGCAAGTCCTGCTCGCACAAGGCGTGTGTACGGGCCTGGGGAACGGGTGTTTGCTTACCCCCATGTCGACGCTTGTGACGAGTTATTTTAAGAGGAGGTTGCCGCTTGTTACGGGGATTGCGGCGTGTGGGAGTGTGACGGGCGGGTTGGTTTATCCGAGTATGGTGAGGACGTTGCTCCCGAGTGTGGGGTTTGGGTGGACGTTGAGGGCGATTGGGTTTATTCAGTTGGGGACTTTTGCGGTGGCGTTGGGGTGTGGGAGGATGAGGAGGGTGGCGAGGAAGAAGGGGCCGCTTTTGGATGTGAGTGTGTTTAGGGAGACGGCGTTTGTTTTGCTGCTTGTGGGGTCTTTTTTGGTAAGTTGTGTTTGGCCTACTAAGTCCGTATGACAGAGACGCTTTTGCTAACAGATCTGCAGGCTTTCCTAGGAGTATTCTTTCCGTTCTTCTTCCTCAGCTCGTACGCGCGAGAGAAGCGGGGGATGTCGTACACCGAATCCCTTAACCTCACACTCGTTCTGAACGGCATCGGGTTTGCGGGTCGACTGTTACCCAGTCTGATCGCCCGATACTGCGGCACGATGAATGTCTACATCACATTCATCTTCTGCTCTGCACTCTGCATGTATACCTGGGTCCCGGTACACTCGACTCCCGGGCTCTACGTGTGGACAACTTTCTACAGTCTTTCTGTGGGTGGAGTTCAGTCACTCTCCCTGGCCATTGTTCCGATCATCATCTCAGATACGTCGAAAATGGGTGCTTCGTTTGGCATTGTGTTCGCGGCTATTGGGGTTGGCGCGTTGATAGGCTCGCCTGTCTGTGGTGCTATCATCACGTCGAGTGGAGGCTCGTATACCGGTGCGCAAGCCTTCTCGGGGAGTGTGTTGGTTGCAGGAGGATTGATCATACTGGCTGCGCGCGAAGCGAAGAGGCGGCAGAAACAGGAAGACGTTTGGGTGAAGATGTGAGGGCCGCACATCGGAACTCTGTTAGTTCCTTTATTCTTGTTGTTATTGTAATTTAGCCTTCATGCGCACTACCAGTTACATGGATGACTTCTTTCCAACCGTGCCACTGCTATGGCCATTCTTCGACGCATCTCTGAGACTAGGACCTGGAGTGTTTTACTTGTAGTGGTACATTGTTGCGACTGAACCATGCCAATGGCGAGTGTCGTGAGACCGTGCCGTCGAGACGCACGGTCTGTGTTCGATGAAGATAGATGGAGACCCTGAGTTCCACGTGCGGTAGATCCTGTGATAGCGCGTTGTTGTTTACGCGTGGCCCACGTGTCAGACGCCCCGCTTTTACCCTTTGCCCTAGCAACATCAACTGTGCCGGCCGCCTAATTTGGCAACAACACGAGGGGCACTTCCATCGCGACAAGTGAGACACCTCACGATAAGACTATCAGAGCGACCAGACGACACTAGTCCATGCATAGTAGTCAGCGGAGACACCGTGCGCCGTTCCGACCGATCGACACCCTTTCCTCCGCCCAGAAGCCTGCTCTCAAAACCCCAGCGGCCACCGCCCACGCCTACACGTCGGACGATAGCGACTACCCTCACGAACAGTCGACCTCTTTGCTCGGTGACTCGAGCAATCTCTTTGACGACATCGAGAGCCCGGCGAGCCATCCCACACAGAAGGAAGTCCTTCAGTCCCGCCTCAAGATGGTGCGTGAGCGAGAGCCTCCCATGGCTCAACCGCCACGCGATGGAACAGCGGCGCCGCCAAAGCCTCTGCAAGACCTACGAAACCTGGCTCCACAGTTTGGCGAGACGAGCCCGCTGAGGAACCCGCTGAAGAAGGACCGGAGCGAGCAGTTTGCACACCTCTTCAACAAACCCAAGCCAGGCCAGATGCGGCCCGAACACAGCCAGACGACCAAGCTACCGTCTCAATACTCGGCGCCTTCTAGACCGTCCCAGAGCTCAGCCTCGAGCGGTAGCAGGGATACACTCAACCGACCTTTCAAAGTGCCCTCCGCACAGTCAGGTTCGCGCTATAGCACAGCGTCTACCTCATCTACCGGTTCCGACATCTTTGAAATCGATGCCTCGCAGTTTCAGCCCCGCCCGTCTCAAGGCGCCTCAGTACCCATTCCACGGCCATACAACCCACCACCAAAGACCAGCCATCCTCCCCCGCGACCGATTTACTCGTCCATGGGCCACGCTGATGGCTTTCAACCGTTGAACAAGGGCATGCACAACCCGCTACAACAGGCGCGTCAGACAATCATATTGGACGATGAAGACAACTTCGACCCAGACGCGGCTATTCGAGCCGAGGGTGGACGGTTCGGCGAGCCCGACCCGTACGCGTATGTCGACTCTGGTGCGGCAAGCGAGAACATCAAAGCGCTGCTTGAGGGTGCTTTCGAGGAAGACGAGAAGATCCCCAGGACGCGACTTCGTAAGAAGAAGAAGCAGCAAGAGGATGACGCTGGCAATTCCCTGGCGGACCGACTACAAGCGCTCGCCGTCAAGGACGAAGAGGCCAAGGCAGAGGCTGAACCAGAAGAGGAAGAGGAAGAAGACGATGGAACGGTCGAGGGTCTTAAGGTGAAGCTGCTGCCTCATCAAGTCGACGGTGTCGCGTGGATGATCGAGAAGGAGACAGGAAATCACAACAAGAAGGCCAAGCTGCCCAAGGGCGGTATATTGGCAGATGATATGGGTCTGGGAAAGACCGTGCAATCCCTCGCCCTCATTCTTTCCAACCCTCGACCGGAGAAGGGTGTTGAGCCTGAGAACAAGAAGAACAAGATCTCCGACTCCACCGGCAAAGGCACTCTTGTCATCGCTCCTCTGGCTCTGATCAAGCAGTGGGAGGCTGAGATCAAGAGCAAGGTCGCCAAGTCGCACGCCCTCAAAGTCCTCGTACACCACGGCCCCAATCGTACAGAGTCCGCTGAGAAGCTGAAACAGTACGACGTCGTCATCACTACCTTCAACAGCTTGGCTACCGACTTCGCGAAGTGTGGTGATGGCCCTGATGGTCTGAAGAAGGGCTGCTTCGCCGTCTCTTGGTATCGCATCATGCTGGACGAGGCACATACCATTAAAAACCGCACAACGAAGATGGCAAAGGCTTGCTACGAGCTTCGTTCACACTACCGATGGTGCCTTACTGGTACACCGATGCAGAATAACATCGACGAGCTACAGAGTCTGATTAAGTTCCTCCGCATCCAACCGTACTGTGAGCTCTCTTCTTGGAAGGAGTCCATCGCGCAGCCAATGAAGAACGGTCGCGGCAATCTTGCCATGAAACGCCTCCAAGTCTTCTTGCGCGCTTTCATGAAGCGGCGTACAAAGGATGTGCTACGGAAGGAGGGTGCGTTGAACTTTGGCGGCAAAGCCAAGGAGGGCGAGGAGCGCCCGGCCTTCCACATCGTTGCGCGAAACGTCGAGACCATTATAGGAGAGTTCACGAACAAGGAGCGCATCTTCTACGACCGGTTACGAGACCGCACACAAGCTCGTCTTGATGAGATGATGGGCGGTGAGAAGCAGGATTACATTGGGGCGTTGGTGTTGCTACTTCGTCTGCGCCAGGCTTGCAACCATCCCAACCTGACGAAGAGCAACGTCAAGGATGATAAGGATGCTTTGACAACCGGCTCGAAGTCAAACGCTGCAGCTGGTCTTCAAACTCCCCGCAAAGCAGCCAAGGACGACGCCGATGACCTTGCGGACCTCTTGGGCGGCCTCAGCGTTGCGACTAAGCGGTGTGATATCTGTCAGAATACACTTAACAGTGATAATACAGCTGCTGGCGGAGTACGTTGTACAGAGTGCGAGGAAGATCTGAACGGGTCTGTCAAGAAGAAGTAAGTCGGCATCTAGCGAAGTTACATTCATGGATTATGCTAACTATACATAGGCACAAGTCGAAGAAACACCGTAAACACAAGCACAAGGACGGCAAGATCAAGAAGCATCGGCAGCCGAAACCAGTCTTGGACTCCGATGACGAAGAAGAGGCGCCACAATCAACCGCTGCCAAACATTCTCGCAACCGTCGCGTCGTTGTCGACAGCGATGACGAAGAAGAGGAGGGCGAGTGGCTCGTCCCTGAAGATCAACAGCAGGCTGAAGACCTGGGTAAGGCTGGCGGTACCGACGATGAAAATGCAGAAGGCGGTGGCGATACTCTTGCTACCGTAGACTCTGACGCATCTGAGACTGAGGACGAGAGCAAGAGCAACCTCGACTCGTTCGTCGTTCACGATACCGACAGCGAGGACGGTGCGCCTGTTGCTCGTAAGAAGCTCGCTAAGAAGCCACAAAACGTCATCAGCCTCGACTCGGAAGACGACGAAGAGGCCGACAGCGAGAGCGGCAGCGGCAGTGATGGTGGCTCAGACGACTCTGCAACCGACTCCGAAGACTCCGACTCAGACCCAGACTCCCCTTCCTCAGAGTCTTCCTACAACGCCTCCTCCCTCGTCCCCTCCACCAAAATCCGCCAACTCCTCGCCATCCTCGAAAAAGAAACAGGCGAACACAAAGTGATCGTCTTCTCCCAATTCACATCCATGCTCGACCTCATCGAGCCCTTCCTCAAGCGCGCAGGCTACAACTTCACCCGCTACGACGGCAGCATGCGCAACGACCTCCGCGAAGCCAGTCTGCAGAAGCTGCGTGAAGATAAGAGGACAAGAGTTTTGCTGTGTAGTTTGAAGTGCGGGAGTCTGGGGCTTAATCTCACGGCTGCTAGTCGGGTGGTTATTATGGAGCCGTTTTGGAATCCTGTACGTAGCCCCACACCTGGGTGGGTGGGGGAGGCGGAGGGGAGGCGGCGGGGAGGAGGAGGGGTGGTGGTGGAAGTCTTCATCAAGGCCTCCTTTAAACCCTGCGTTCTCCTCATCTCCCCTCCTTCTCTCCTCCTCTCCTCCTCATCTTCCCCCATCCCCCGTCTCTTTCTATCCCCTACCCCCTATCCCGTTTCTTTCGCAATACCCTCAAAAGTCAATTGCTAACTTACAAATCCAACAGTTCGTGGAAGAACAAGCCATAGACCGCGTCCACCGCCTCAACCAAACCGTCGACGTAACCGTCTACCGCCTCTCCATCCACAACTCCGTCGAAGAACGCATCCTCGAGCTGCAGGAAGCCAAGCGTAAACTCGCCAACGCCGCCATCGAAGGTGGTAAAGCGATCAAGAATCTGACCATGAAGGATATGATGGCGTTGTTTAGTAGGGAGAGCGAGTATGATCGCAGGCATGATGATGATGCTAAGGATATGGAGTTGTATGGGAGGAGGAAGGTGTTGGATGGGGAGGATGGGGATAGGGAAGAGGTGCTGGAGGAGGGGAGGAGGAGGAAGGCGGGGAGTTTGGGGTTTAAGGCGGTTAAGAGGACGGAGAGGAGGGAGGAGGGGGGTGCTTATGGGCGGCGTTGATGGGGGGTGAGGGGAAGGTGGTGTTTTTTGGTGTTGAGGGTTGGTTATGATATGGCGTTCATGATACGGTATGACATGAGGAATCGTTCTTGAACTTTCTTCCCGATGGCTCAGATGATAGACTTTCGTCATTGCGAAATGAATTGCATGTTCGTTATCTGCTATCTGCAACAATTGCGATGTACGTCGGACGCGTCTCGAGCTCCTCAAGCAGTAGCCTCGGTATGTGTGCAGCTCACACACATCATCTACAGCGCTAGATCTCTCCTCTTCAAATGATTGTTATATCATGTTTTGGCATCTTGCTGATAAAGTCTTGCTCCGTATCAAATTCCAAAAATGCAACTCCTATTCGAACATACCGCGTGCACGGGAGGCGTTTGAGTAGAAGTCCTTCAACGTTGTAGCCAGGAACCCAGGTATCACTCTCCAATCGGTGTTGGGGGGCTTCCGATTGAGCGCGTACCACTGTGAAGTATGCCGTGCGGAGGTCTAGGTGTTCTTCTCGATCGATGAAAAGAAACTCTTTTCCTTCAGGTATTGATGACCATTGCGCGACAACTTCAGGTTTGCCAGAATCCGTAAGTATCGATAGTTCTATGTCCATGACAACGATAACGTGCGTTCCGTCAAAAATATTGCGATGTCTCCCGATCCAATTCAAGGTTCCCAGTGGTGCTCGCAATTCTATCATCCCGGCCGATACTGCGCCGAACTTGTCTGCTGGATTTGCTAATGATATCTCACATCTCCGTACGGTGGCACACATCCAGGAGTTCCCTTTGGACCGTGTCCAATTAATACTTGTTATTGCTGATGCCCAGCTCCAAGATGGGGCGACGTATTTTAGTGAGCCATCTACGTCTATCATTGTCTTCGCGGCTGTTTCAGTGGCCGTAGGCCACCACTTACGCCACAGGAGACTTATAGGCAGGGTTTTCCTCCAGATACCCGCCAGATATTCGCACTGTGTTCTCTTGTGAACCATAGATGCTATGCCCGACAATGCGATCAGTCTATCCGTCTCGAATGTGAGACCGCAATAAGAGTACATCTCCACAAGATGCTGCCAATCTACGCAGGCATCGTCATTGTCTTTGTCTCGACTTCCATAGCATATGCGCTTTATTGTACCGCGGCTGGCGGATTGCTTTTCATACGTATGTCCACCGTAAGGCAGGTGTTCCGAGGCCTGGAGATGTCTGCACTCCCATAATACCTGATCCGAGGACATATGCACGATGCGAGGTGATAAGATCCGTTCTTGCAATACCCAGGCTCTTTTGTTGACAGGTGCCAATTCGACACCGCCACACCATTCCTCTGAATTGGTCACTGTCCATGTAATCGCTTCTCCGCTTTGATCATGCCGTGTACGAAAGTGGGCGACGTCACATGAAGCGTATCGCTCGGCGTACAATCCTGTACGGCTTGAAGCTGCAGAAACATTGAGCCAGCTATTGGCGTAGACCTTTCCCATCATGGCAGATTCGTTTCTCCAGTCTTGGGTATTGTCCTGGACAATGCACATACAATCGATCCACATTAGACGCACACCTAGTTGCCACGTAAGGTCGGCCATTTGCTTGAAAGTATGTTTCAGATTAGACGCGGCAATCCCGTTGCGGAAAGAGCTGAGGGAACCGGTGGTCAGCTTCAGACTCTGCACATCGGGGGCACCCCAGCAATGACTGAGGGTACAGTAGCGACCGCTTTGTAGCTCGGAGCGATCTCGTAAACGTAACTGTAGGTCGTCGCGAACTCCACTGATCTCCAGCAATCGCGATGGCATCCACATGTTTTCGCGCCCTTCTTTGCAAATATCGTGGGTGTTCTCGCATATTTCGATCCAGTTGAGGATATGCGATGTCGTCTCCGCGGAGTCTGTGTAGGCTGAAAAGACTGTCGGGAACTGCGGTTCTTGCCTATCGCCCAAGCGAGCGCGGATAGTAACCGGTGTGAAATCATAAAACCCGACCAAATGTACATCATCCGAATCGTAACAATTCTCGCAGTCATCGTCACGATGGTCCAGCGATAGTTCGACCTGCATGGATTTCTTTCTGTCCGCTCCGCTGTGCAAGATCCAGGAGGTCAGTGGGCAAGGAGGATGCTCTCCGAGCTGATGGTTCGACTCGTCGATGCTTCCGATAATGACAGAGCATATCAAACAGTCATCGGCTGCAGAGCGGGCAAGGTTCGCATGCGAAAACTGATGGACAAATCTTTTCTCTGAGGAATTCAGCATCCGGCTAAAGGTGTCTTCGCAAACATCGCATAGCGTGGGTAAGGAGGCGGCGTCGGAGGTCATGGCGAATTTGCTAGGCTTTGTGGCATATCGGCCGCTGATGGACGCGCGAATGCAATGATGTACTCGCTAGCTTGCGCAGTGTGATATTGCGACAGAATGGAGTATGATGGCTCTCGTCAACTCAGGAGCACCTATAGGATCGAGACATTGAGCGTCGGCAGTGCTCTTCGTTGGCATTACAGCTCTAGCGAGGACAGAACCTTGGAACATTGCGCAATGATCGTGACCGGTGAAGAGTGCGGGGGGGTTTTTGAAGCTAACCCGATTGCGGACGCGACGGCAGTCACGACTGGATGAACGTCATCTTTGACCTGCCACACCATGCACAGTAATCTTGTGTATCCCGAGACTTCTATCGCATTTGCCCGTGAAACAAATGATGCCTGGTGGCTCTCCCAACATGCAGCTGCCTACGTGGTTGCTCAGGATTCGGTTGCGCAGAAGGGGCAGGCTGATGACAGCTCCTAGCATTCATATCTAGCTGTGGCTGCCAGCAACTCGCTCAAACCTGGCATCTCAAGAGCACACAATGTCGTCGACCACCTTGACGCCTATCGTCCAACAGGCGGTCGAGCATCGCCTCGAAGAGCTCGAACGCACCAAGAAGTCTTTCGAGCGGCGCTACCTCTCTGAAGCCGTGGAGTCTGATCAGCCAAGTGTTATCGTACGTCTTGATAGGCTGCTGAACGGAGTGAAGAATCTGGAGCCAAAGCTTGACGAAGAGGACGGCGATTGGTTGACAGAGACTATTAAACGATGCATCGAACAAGCCAAGGATGACGGTGCGATATCCGAGAAGAAGCTGTTGAGGCTAGAGAAGAGCCTCCGCAATAAACTGAGCAGGTTTCGCAACCGCATGGAGGTGTCATGTCTACACGCACAGCTCATCAAGGAAGCTACAAACGCGGCTAAAATCGAAACGGCGGCTACTAAGCTCGAGACTGTAGCACCAGACGACGATGACGATTTCGAAGTAGTCGATAACGAAAGCGAAGAAGTTCTCGAAAAGTTCGAGAAAGCCTGTTCCCAGGCTACAAACGTGGACAACCAATCGATCGAGACCTATCTTTCGAGCTTGTTCACGTCCGAAGACGAACACCTACAATCGATCCGAGACGGGATGCAAGCATACGGAGACGATCTGAGCAGCGGAGAGATTGAGGTAGATGAGGAGTGCTTGACGTGGATAATGTCGGACTTGATGAAGTCGGAACGGATCAGCCCCGAGCGAAGAGCTACCCTCGCAGGGTATCTGCAGTCACCCGATGCATTACGAGAGCTTGTCGCGACCTTGAACATGATGAGCTATCGTGACTGGAATTACAGAAACGCGGAGGCGGGCTTGCCAGTCGAAGTGCGCAAAACGAAGAGCGGCCAGCATTACGTTCACGTCGAGGTAGACATTATCGACATGTTGTTCCTGCATTGCTGTGCGATTGGGTGGGCCGTGAAGTTGAACGAGTGTCTGAAAGAATTCGTTCACGAGTCGGGTCTGTTTCGCTGTGCTCTGTTGGCAGAAGCGGAGCTCGACAAACGTGCTTTCTTCTTCGACACACCTCGTCTTGCATGTGGGGATTATCTGTCGCCACCACCGCCACCCTTACCTTACGTGTTCCAATCAATACCTCCTCCTCCCCCTGGTCTACCTCTGTACAACAGCAGAAAGGGTAGTCGAAAGAAGAAGAGGAGTGATGAGAAGATGTATCCCATAATGCACCCGGCACCTCCACAGCCACCGCCAGCTGTGCCGATGGATGTAGAAAGTCTTCGAAGTGACAACTACAAACAGCATTTCTTCATGTCGCGTCTCCCTCACAAAGACGGCGAAGTACCCAAGATTGTTTCGTCCGAAGACGTACAAGCAAGATTGATCAAGACTCTCGCTGTGGAATGCAAACTTCGAAAGGCGTTCGATGGCAAGGTGTGCGCTACAACTTTGGAGTTCGACTCAGTTGCCTCTACAATTCCCCATCAAACCATCATCACCGCATTGAGGTTTCTTGGTGTCCCGGAAGTCTTCCTCGAGTTCTTTACTCGTGCTCTGGAGCCCAAGCTGGGCATCCGAGGTTCAGCCAGTGAGGTGGATAAACTCCTAACGCCTGCTAGTGGAGTAGCGGTTGCTCATGGCCTGGAGATGTTGTTCAGCGAAGCTGTGCTGTTGTTCCTCGATCTTGCCACGCACAAAGCGACGAAGTCGTACATGTACCGTTTGTATGACCGCTGCTACTTTGTCGGTATTGCGGACCAGGTCAAGAGTGCCGAGCAAGAAGCTGCCCGTTTCTCTGATATCATGGGGATGAAGCTGCGCAATACCTCGTCCATTGGCGGGCTCTCCATCGGACTTTTGACCATGGGCTCGCAGGAATCCCTGACTTTCGATAAGAGTGAGGAATTAAGCGTGGATGAGATCAAAGTCGCCCTATACGCAACCCACGTAAAAGCTAGGCTCAAAGCATGCTCAACCGTACTGGAGTGGATTCGCGAATGGAATGACAGTGTCGGTACCTACGCAGCACAGCTCTTCGGGCCTCTTGCCAATGTGTTTGACGCAGCACATCGCGATGCCGTCAAGTCCGCTTACAGACGTATCCACTCTATCGTACTTGGTGGTAGTGACTTGACCACATACGTTGTGAAGATGCTCAACCCCCATCTGAAATGTGGTCTGGAGCGTATGTCTTTTGATCTTGAGCCCATCATCTACCTCCCGCAATCTTATGGTGGCCTCGGTGTAAAGACTCCGTTTGTCGCTTTAGCATCCGCCGCCAAGATTAGTGAATCTGGTTCCGGAAGGATTGAAGGATATCTCAGCGAAGAGGCTGCCTACTACGAAAAAGCCGCAGACCGATACACTCTGGCGTCAGGCCAGCGTCAGCAAAGGCTCGAGACAATCTTCAACAATGACCTATCAAGGATGATCTCAGCGCTTGGTTCTGAAACCACATCCAGCGTATGTCTCGACGCCCTTCCGTTCATGACGGAAGCTGAGATGACGGAACATCGCGAACGTACTTCATACCCACTGCTCACCAGTTACTTCTGGAAGCTCGGTCCAGTGACAGTGCCTGATCTTCTCAGCCTCTATCATGATCTACTTGGCGAGGACACTGTTCGCATTGAAGAAAGTCAAAGGACCAAGCGGGAGGTACAACGTCTTTCCCGAACGAGGGATCTGAAAGACTGGTACAGAGTGAGCCAGCTGGAAAAATGGACGTTGCAGCTCTATAGCGAAGAGTGCTTTGAAAGGTACGGCGGCCTTGAAATCTGGTGGGCTGAGGGCATGCCCGTGGAAGTCTACAACAGCCTCAGAGGTCACATGGCGGATGATGACGACGACGGCGACGATTGTAGTTCAATGATCTCAATAGTTTAGCCCAGACGCCCAGGCGAGAGGGAATCAGGTGGAGTGATGCCTGGTTCAGTTGCCCGGATGCGATGCGCGCTTCTCTTCTGTCGACACCGTCTACTTACAACCGTCGTTTCCGAAGGTGTGTGATGAGTATGTCGCGTTTCTTTCGGGTCTCCTAAAATGCTCACGGTAGCTACGAATCAATGAATCATTCACGACGCGTCTCCATTAGTGCAGCGCGAAGATCGCGACCCCAGGCGTCGTGACCTTGCAGGAGCGGCAATGCCACCCCACAAATGACAAGAGGTGATGTTCTGTGACGGGCAAAGGATGCGCGCGACTTTGAATAGTGAATCCAGTAGCGATGGTGAGGGCGGGAGCGATAGCGTTGTTGCTGTCAGAAGTGTGGATGATGGCGATGCTGTGCGCAAGATCGTGCAGCCTTCGGGATCTCGGAAGCAATCGTTTCCGATCGGACCACGTGACAGACGGCGAAATTCCACTCAAGGCTCTTCGTTCATGCCAGACCTCTGAAACGAAACACATTTTCCGAAAAAGAAATAATGAGCGGGATAACTCATATAGAACGGCGCATCATATTGGTGGATTCATGCGGTGCTGGCACAGGGGACACGTAGTTCTCCCCGCACGTTCCGTACATTCACTTTACACCACCGGCTAAGAAGGCCAAGCCTTGCTAAGCTTCGCAAAGGATCATCAAGCCTTGTCTATCTACAACACAAGCGCTACGCCACCATGCCCTAGAACGTTTAGACAGCGCGACTAGCAACACCTGTCATTTCTTCACATTTACCTAGGCGTCTCCCACCCATGCGCCCTGAGTACCTGCAACTGCGACGCCTCGACGGGAAAACCTCGTGTCGCAATGGAGGCCGAATATAAGACATCATTTGGCAGGCCGTGCCATCTCGGACCTACTCTAGATTGTTCTCTTGCGATGCATTATACGAATGCAAGCATGTTGCGAATGCGAGGTTCATGGACGACTGCGAGAGGTAGTATATACATCTCCTGCCCGTCGCTTGTAAGGCGTCACTATCAATCCTTGGCTTCCATTCTTTAAGCACTGGTCTGTTCGTCTAGCTTTCTTGATTGACTTCATTTCACATCCCACGCTTTACCCGTCGTATCCATTCTCGCCAAGGCGAAAACGACAAGATGCTGTCCAAGCTGGCCTTTTTCCTCGCTTCTTCCAATGTTGCTTTCTCTGCTCCAAGTCTCGACCCCCGTCAGGCAGTAACCATTGCCGTGGACTCCAGTAAGACCTTCCAAACGATTGACGGTTTCGGTATCTCCGAGTTCTACGGTCGCGCTGGAAACATCAAGTCTCTGGCAGCTGCTGCCCAGAAGCAAACTCTTGACCTTCTCTTCGATCCTACTACCGGCGCAGGCTTCAACATCCTGCGCAACGGCATTGGCTCTGGCCCTTCCAGCGGCTTCTCTATTGAGCCCAACAGCCCCGGATCGCCCACTGGAACACCAAAGTACCAGTGGGATGGCTCCGACAACAACCAGGTTTGGTTGACGAAGCAAGCGCAAGCCCGCGGCCTCAAGACCATTTATGCCGATGCTTGGTCTGCTCCTGGGTTCATGAAGACCAACGGTAAAGACTCGAACGTAAGTACGACCACCCAAACGGGGACTGGAAGCAATAGCTGACTTGCTTCAGGGAGGAAGCCTTTGCGGTGTCGATGGCACGTCCTGCGGCAACTGGACCCAAGCTTACGCCAACTACCTCACACAATACGTCAAATACTACAAGCAGGAGGGCATTGACGTGACGCATCTCGGCTTCTTGAACGAGCCCGACTATACGTAGGTCCTTTACATGTCTTCGTGTAGATGATCTGTTACTGACGGATCATAGCACCGCATACTCCTCCATGCGATCGACCGGACAGCAGGCCGCCGATTTCATCAAAGTCCTCGCTCCCACCGTCAAGGCCTCTGGTCTGAAGGTAAAGCTCACCTGCTGCGATGCCACCGGCTATAACGCTCAGAAGGCCATGCTTCCAGGACTCGCTGCAGTCGATTCCCTGTACGACGTCGTCACCACCCACGGTTACAGCTCCGACCCCACAGCCCCCTTCGCTACTTCCAAGCACATGTGGATGACTGAGACTGCGGATCTCAGTGGCAAGTGGACAGCCAGCTACTACACCAACGGCGGTGCCGGCGAAGGTCAGACCTGGGCCTCCAAGATCTACACTGCTCTCGTCGACGCAAACTTCTCGGCATACCTCTACTGGGAGGGTGCCGAGGACGCCGGAACCAACCCTACCAACTCCGTCCTCATTGACATTCACGGTGGCGTCGTTGCGCCTTCCAAGCGCTTCTGGGCTATGGCACAGTGGAGCCGCTTCGTCAAGCCTGGCGCCGTTCGCGTCAGCGCTGGTGGCAGGACCAGCACGCTCAAGACATCTGCTTTCAAGAACACTGATGGCTCAGTCGCTGTGCAGGTCTTGAACACTGGCGCGTCTGCAGCGACCGTCAGCATCACTGGTGTCTCGGGTAAAGCGTCTGCGTTCATCACCAACGAAAGCCACGGGCTTGATGCGATGACTGGAAACAGCGTGCCCGCACATTCCATGGTCACTTTCCTTTACAAGTAGATGCACTCTCCGTGATAGTGCATATTTCTCCAGCTTCGCAAGTATGGTCTTGCTTTTGCAAAGCTTTACCATTCTGTTCTCCTAGTGTTGACGCACCCTATTTCCTTGTATATAATTCTCATACACTGTTCCATCGCTACCATCTTCATTACCTGAGTAGTGCGCCATCGCATGTGAACTATATCCAAACGGGAATCGTTTCCGAAGCGCTTTTAACTGATTCTTGACTGCAGCGAAGACATCGCCATCTATATGGATGCGCAGTACTCGAGTAGCACTACATCAAGGTGCGGGATGGAGTGGCCGGCCCACGGGTAGAAAGAAGGACGGGCGCGAACTTTGCGGCGCTATGTACGAAATGAGCTTAGTGGCGGGGAAGCCGTTGATGCCGCCTGCACCCGACCCTGCCGAAGGATCGATGTAATCTCAATCAACTGCAGTGTTGCGGCGTAGCTGTATCTGCGTACGCTAGAGCATACTCGATACTCCTCGACGAACGACGGAAGAGCTTCTGCTTGACATGCTCGCCGCTGGTCGTACGCGTCCGATACAGAGGAGCCACCTGGCATACCTTCCACCTACCTAGATATCATCTCGCAGATTCATGGCAAACAACCAGACCCAATCTGTTCTCCGCGGCTCGACGGGAAGAATCTCACCACTAGGCATGCGGTACGGCACGCGTGCAGAGGGCTAGGCTACAACCGACCCGATCCCTGCGCTGGCTTTTGGGCATGCAGCAGCTCAGGTTCGTTTGCGCGGCTCAACGCTCTTGACATGGGCCGTAGCAACTGAGAAGGATAATCCCAAGCCGCTGTGCACTTATAAATTGGCCTTCGCGCTTTCTTGGTTGAGAAATCTGTAGTCTCCTCTGATCCCCAAACCCGTCACTATGCGGCTGCCGCTTTTGTTTGCGGCATTGCTCTCGTCCGTGGTATCTCAGGTTTTCGAGCCTGCCGACTTCAGCGTCACCGATGCTCTTCTTGATCAAGGCGTCAATGTCTCCGCATTGCCAGAGCTAGCCGGCCTTGTAGGTCGGTCATCCAACCTGGCCTGCAACATCGCCGTGAGTATCTTCAAGCAAGTAACTCAAAGCTAAGGCTGAATTAAAAACAGTGTTCTTCGCTGGAGGTCGTCTACGGAAACAAATCTGTCGAGTTCCAGGATGAGGCTGGCTACTCCGCGTTCACATCCAGCTTCTGGTCCGGAATTTCAGCCGAGGTCAGGCCATACTGTATCTTCAAGCCCTCGAGTTCTGCCGCTGTTTCGGTAGTGGTACTTCTGTCCCGGCTATCAAAATGCCCGTTTGCCGTCAAGTCAGGTGGTCACAGTGCGTTCGCCGGCGCGGCTACTATCGAAGGAGGTATCACTGTATCCTTCGAGAACATGAAGGGCATCGAGCTTTCAGATGACAAGAACACTGTCGCAGTTCAACCAGGGAATACATGGGGTAATGTGCTTACCGCTTTGTCGACCACTGGTGTCACAGTCGTATCTGGAAGGATTGGTGATATCGGTGTCGGCGGACTCACCCTCGGTGGCGGCATATCGTTCCTCACGAATGAGTATGGTCTGGCTTGCGACAACGTCGCCAGCTTTGATGTGAGTTCGCAGCGCAATGCCACGACATCGCGCTCTTCTAACATTAGTTAGGTTGTCACAGCAAGCGGCATCATGGTAACGGCAAGCCCAACGACCTTCCCAGACCTCTACTGGGCTCTTCGCGGGGGCGGCAACAACTTCGGCATCGTAACCAGCTTCAACCTGACGACAAAACCCCTCGACAATGATCAGATCTGGGGAGGGACCCGCACTTTCCCGGAGAGTGCATTCCCGGATGTAATCAAGGCGTGGGTGGACCTCACGTTCAACTCGGCCCAAGACCCCAAGGCAGGTAGCTGGGTTGCCTGGTTGGACAAGGGCGCAAAGCTTGCTTCAACCGAACTCTGGTACGGCGCACCAGCTGGTAACGAGTCGGCGATCCTCGCACCTTTCTACAACATCACCGCCGTGGCTGATAGCACGAAAACGCGAGGCCATGCCTCTTACGTGATCGACAACGAAGCTACCAACAAGTATGGGCTGCGTGAGGTCTACTACGTTATCTCCGTCAAAGCCTCCTACGAGATTGCCGAGCGCTCCGTGGACATCTTCTACGACTCGATCGGCGCTCTTTCCGCTGTCGAAGGCGCATATCCCGTGCTCATCTGGCAGCACATCACCGACGGTTCTCTGAAAGGTAGTACCCGCAACGGCGGCAGCGCGATGGGGTTCGACGCCAAGGGCAGCCCTATCCACATCATTCAACTAGCTTGCTCTTGGAATAACGCCGCAGATGACGATACAGTATACCAGGTCATGTCAGACATCATGAAGGCGATCAAGAGTGATGCGGTAAAGCAGGGCGTGCAGAATGACTGGGTTTATATGAACTATGCATCGATGTTCCAGGACGTCATTGCGAGTTATGGCTCGGACAGCAAGAGCAAGATGAAGACTATCGCGAGCAAGTATGATCCGAAGGAGGTGTTTCAGAAGCTGCAGCCTGGTTACTTCAAGTTGGATCGCGCACCGGTGCCTGATGCGAGGTACTTTTCGTACTGAGATCACATCAGAGGGTGTGTGACTTAAACATTTGTACATGGCCTTCTATTATCGGCAATGCGCGACACTACTTTGCAACTTATTTCTCTCATTCATTGATCATGTGTGAGATTTAAGCTACTGTAATGACTCTTCTACGAACTGTACGAAACCAAACCGGTACAAGATGACGTTCACATGGCGCGGGGTCGATGGTCTGCGTACCGAGACTGTACGGTCTTGAAGTCCACTCCTTCTTCCTCAATGATTCCTTCCAGTATGCTGTTCCGGTACGCTTCCCAATCCTCTTTGTGTCTATCTTGTAGCAACGTGGAGACGTACTGGCATTCTTCGTCGAACTCATCCAGGGTACCTATGCTGCACGGAAACTGCACGAGAGAGTTGCCCGAGAGGATATGTCGCACTGATGCTGGCAGTAGTTCCGGGTCGCTGTAAGCAGCATCACCATAGTTTGCGAAAGCCAGTGCAAGATCATCTCGTGTCGGAAATGGTGAACGTTGAGCGTGCGTACAAGCCATAGCTGCAGTGTATAATGCTGCGACGTCCTTTACTTTGTTCCAGACGAGCTGGACGGTGTCGAAGGGTCCGACGAAATGGGTTCTGAAGGGTGGGCGGGCGTTTCCACCCAAAGATAAGCTAGTCGCTTCGTTGATCCAAGTGACTGTGCGAAGCACGGCATCTGATACGTCGCAATTCGTCCACCATCGCTTCATATAGGGAGATTCGCTCATCTGCGCGAGGTTGTTGTAGTCATTTGGGAAACTTACCGGTTATCAGCGGACATTCTGGTGAACAATGTGACATACACTACTTACACGCATTGCCAGAGATCGACATGTCTATTCACAGACAGTGCGGGTACCTCATCAGAAATATCTAACAGTCCTCGCAAATGGCATTGTGGTAAGGCTACACACTTTTCCTCTTCCAGTATCTTGATGTTGCGTACCTGCTTTCGATATTGGGCTGGGAGTCCATCCAGAAAACGGATAGCTTGTGATGTGGCAGACTGGTAGTATCTCAAGCCGGGTAAACGGTCTTGGAAGCTGGACCAGTGAGTTGGGCATCGCGATTCGAACAGATCGCGCAACTTTGTCATTTCTTGTTCGGTGGGAACGATCCAAGGTCGCCATTGGGTATTAGAGACTATCAATCGCATGTCCTCAAGCTCCATATAGCTCAGTTGGTCAGCAGAGCGTCCGTCATTGACGCTCTCGGTGGACGGATACTTATCAACCCGGTAGAAGACAGTCCATCTCCTTTCTCTCGGGATAAGTTCGCTACCGCGTGTATACCGTGGTCGTGAGGTTAAGAAGCCGAGAATGTCGATGAACCAACTCCATGATCTTAGCCGTTCCGTAAAGTTGGCGTGGGAGGTAAGTCGTAGGAGACTGGCTTGCAAGATCTCGCGATCATGATACATCAGTGATTGCGGGTCACCCATCACGGCCGCGAGTGGCACAAAGTCTTTGTTCTCATGTTTCATGATGCGTTCGAGGATGTCGCTGATGCAGCTGTCGGGATTGCGCTCGGATATCTCTCTCATCACTTGTTCGGAAGCTAGGACAAGGTGATGAGTATCATTTGGTTTTTGTACAGTTTCAGGGAAAGACGACTTGACTTACGTTGTGTAGTCGCCGCCAACGCGAACATCTCTTCCTGCAGAAGATGAAGCCGCCCTAACAAGAAGTCGTACTTTCCGGCCTGCGGCCACGTGGTCCAGATGTCAAACCCCTCCTGCGGCATCACGATCTCTTGAAAGGGTCTAAATACCACTTCATTCACCCTGAGCGGCAGATCTCGCATCTCGCCAGCGACCATCTTGCAGGTCCACGTCAAGCTGAAATCGACGATCTGACCATCGTAACACCGAAGCTTGTTGGTGCTCGGGGAGTGAACGTAGCCTCCAGCCTCTTGTAGGTAATAGGTGTAGATCTCATCGCGGAGTTCCCGGGGAAGGCTCAGAAGGCGCGACTGTAGCTGTCGGGATGGAGCTTCCATTGTCATTATGTCGTGTCAACTCTGGAGTTGGTGTTGGATAGATTCCAATAGCAAAGTCATGGCAGGCGGCGCATTTATGATGGGCAGGTAGTAAAGGACACATGTGCACATATGCAACTGATTTCCGTCGCGCGGTAGGCAGCAGCAACAAATGTTGTAGCCTTGTGAGCTTGTTGTTTGGTCTTGTTGGTACTGTGACCCAGATATGTTTAGGGGTTTAGGAACTTGGAGAGAATGCATCTTCTCGTACTACACTGTGTGCACTCACTTGCTGATGGTCAGTCGCGTCGCAGAACAAGCGTCATGCTGGTCTTGCTTCAACGGCATGGAAGCCAAACGAGATCTAATAATGCAATTGAGGGGAATACAGCTCTTGATACTCGAGTTTTCTGACAGAAATGAGACGGAACGAGATGACGAGTGGAGATGCAACCTGTCCAGATAAATGTGAGGAACGCGGTGAAGGAACGCTTGTACTCCGCTTCCGACCCTTCCGCACCGTTCTCACCAAGACGGAGCACCGAACAGCATTGTTTGAGAGCGCACAAATTGAGCGGTGACTTCCTACGGTAAGCAAATGCAGCGTCCAGATTGAAATCGCGTGTTGTTGGTCGGGAGTCCGAGTCGGAGTACCCAAACTGCGAAAGACAGAGAATACCCAAACTGCCATAGCTGACCAATCACAGCCCGGGGGAAGGAGCTGACGGGCCTCCCGAGATCCGCCCGCCCCACGCGAGCCAGTCGCGTGTGCGTTCCACCCCCTCGCGGCACGCCTCTCTGTGTCCGGAATCCATGACGACACAGCGTAAGCCGAAGATGTTTGCGCGTTTGCACGGGGCACGAGGCGTCCGGCTCTCCGCTGCAGTTGCGGCGCACACTGTCCATCTTCCTGCTACGTGAAATACCACCTTTGCCCAGTAACATCATCAGCGATTACCATTGACCATTGCCAAACATCACGATGAGCCACCCAACACACCCAGCCACAGTGCACTTCCCCATCACCACCACCTTCCTCACAGGTGCTCTGGATGCCGTCTACTTCCTCTCCAAGTATGCGCCAACTGCCGGCGCCGTAGCCTCAACCTGTAAGTCCTCCCCCAAAGGTCCCAAGGTCCTTCCATCTGATCTCACATCTAACACACTCCCAGTCAAAACCCTAGACATCGCCATCAACCCGTCCATCTTCCCCCTCCTCTCCTACTACACCACGCTCCTTACGCTCCTCTTTTCCGCCCCGGCGGTCGCGACCGGCATGTACGAGTTCATACCGCTAGTCAAACGTGACGGCTTGAAGTCGAAGAAGGCACAGGTCGGCGCGCTGCATGCCGTCATCAACGATGTGACGGTGCTGGGTGCGGCGTTCAACTGGTGGACGCGTAGAAGCAACCCCGGCATGATGCCGAGCGATACCAACATTCTGATCAGCAGCGTCGTTGCGCTACCGGCGACAATGTTTGCGGCGTACCTAGGCGGCAGTCTGGTGTATGTCTATGGCATGGGCTTTAGGGGTGGGCAGGCTAAGGCGAAGAAGGCGCAGTAAGAGTAGGTGGGGCTGTGGAGAGGGGGTGAGGTCAGTCACGATGAACGAGCAAGACACGATGAGTGGGTTTTATCGCTCCATTTTCTAGTATTTTTGGTGTCACTATGGACTTGTACGGACCAAGGAAAACACTCGAAAGGGGATTTGGCCTAGGATCGGAGAGAAGCCTATTAGAAAGTGTAAAAAAGTACAAGGAGAGAAAATGTAGAGCAAGAGAAGCGACATCATTGTTCCACCAACGTACATCACCACCCCACAGGGCCGCCCATACACAGCTCGATGTGACTTGAACGATGAAGAACTGTGTTGCGTCCCCATGGTCTTGAGTCGCTGGGTAACATCTCTTGTCGTGTGGACTCAACGCTTCCGAGGGAGACAGCAAGGCCGTACTGTCATCCCTACCATCCCTGCCAGCTTGGTCCTTGAGGACTAAGATGGTCGCCTTGGCGGGGATAACGGGCGTCCCCCTGGAATTCATTTTCGGTGTTGCGACCCGCCAGCGCTGGGGGCAAGGACAGTTGTGCTGTCGGATAGGAGTGTTCGGGTGGATCGGCTGGAGGTCCATACGGGAAGGTCTCCGAGGCGTTCGAGTGTGGGATTGTCAAGGTTGAAGGATGCCCCATCCACGACCTAGATGCACCATCGTTCCCGATTCGACCTTGGTTGGCGATTTCGGCAGGCCTTTGCTGCGTGACCATCGTCGAGTCCGGTAGGTCGATACCCTGATTGTCGGCGATCTGTCCTGGGTATGACGGATTGGGTTTGGTTGCTTCGCGCATCGAAGGACTCGGAGTTGCTGACAGAGGCCGCAAATTGACAGCAGGTGACGTCGAGAACGGTACGCGTGCGCGCACGTGGGTAGTCATGAAGTGGTCGATAGGAAGCTCCCCTTGGAGAATCCATTGGTTGCAGCAGTGACAGTAGCCCGCGATCACTGCGAGCCCCAAAGCATTTGGATGATCCTTCATGAGATGGTTCTTCATCCAACCCTTCTTCTGGAAGCCCGTTCGGGAGCATCGACAATCTTGGGCGAATGCGCAGTTGTCGACGACGAAGATGGTCGGCTGCCGCCCGCGTGTAGTCTGTCGAGACGGCATGCTGCAAGATGTGTATGGGTCGTATTCGGAGGGAGTGCAAAAGTGGCAAGCTCTGCAGGGATAAGTGTAGGGAAGAAGGGGTGTGTATTCCGAGTAGAGTGCGCGAGTATGATCAATAGATAAGACCAAGCGGATAGTGAAAAGACTGAGAACTGATCGAAGATGCTATGCGCAAGATTGCTGCGGCACTGGAAAGGAACACATTCGAGGAGACACCGTAGATATATACTCGCAGTAAAAGGCTCGTAGACAGACCGGCATGGAAATCGGGCAAGCCACATACCTTAGTGAGAACCCCGCAAAACGATACTTCATTTCCTTGATTGGCCCAGAAACTACAATGTTCAGGAGTATGGAAGAACTGTTTGTTCTATGGGAAATTGAAGCCTTGATGGCACTTCGGCAGGCTCTCAAATAGTCCGGACGGCTGGTTTCACATGCACTAGCTGCATGCACTCGGCTAATCCGTGCTACTTTCGCCCAAAACGGCCTCCTAAACGGCCTTCTTGGGCTATCCGCAAGCTCTAGATCATAGGAAGCGGCTCGTGGCTTGTGTATACTGTGCGGAACTAATGCTAGTCTAGGTACAGTGCCTAGGTACACTAAAACCTCGGGAGCTTCTTCGTAGATGGCAGACGTGCACTTGCGTCTTTCGCGTACGACGAGGAGTACCTATGTATCCTGGTCTTTCCACTACGTCGAGATGCCGCTTCAGGGAAGATTCATCTCGAGATGTAGACAGGCGCCCTACGGAGGCGGTCCTTGGCCTTAACGTACAATGGCGCTGCCATATCGATAGAAGACGGAAAGACAAGCCTTACGCGACGCCCATGTTGAGACGATGAAACATCCAGTGCCTGGCACGCACGAAGCTAGTGCATGCAGGCCGCAGGTGTCGTGTACGAACTTTTCCAGTTGACAGGGGCATCGCGTGGTTGCTGTATTAGAGGCCGTGGGTTTTCCCACCCGAATGATATCATGCAGGTGCGCTAGCAGCTAGGGCAGGGCAGTCCGCAGCCCAGGGAACGGATGCTGGCTTCACGGCGCGATGGCGTAAGCGCCCGATGATTTTCAGGCTATGAAGATCTAATTGGTTCGCCATGGTATTCAGGTATGGAGACCTAATTGATTCGCTATGATTTCCAGGTATGGGGATCTAATTGGTTCGCGCCTGCATATCTCTGAGCTGTGGGTCGGTGGCAGGATTGTCGAGATGCCTCCTGGCTAGGCCAAGGGCAACAGAGAGGTTACCCATAACTTCCAGAGCCCTTCAGGCAAGATGATGTTTTATCAAAGACCTTTCTGCTTTCGATGTTCGCGCATAACCGAAGAAACTTGCTTCAGGGATTCACAGAAGGGAAGCCTCATAGTTGGGAAGGTCGAAGTTGACAGCATGCAGACCGCCCGATTATCGCGATGGGATCATATGGCACGGCCCTGATCTGAAGGCGAGCGAATCGGAATCTTCTGTTCGCACAGGACCGTTATGATGTGCGTTATGATGGACGCGTAGGCGTTTGTGATGCAACAGCCGATGCACCCCTGCCACGCTACGCTGGAGTAGCTCGACGGGGCTACGGGAATCACGGACTTCTTGCTGGCCCTCAAATAAACCCACCAGGTGTCTATTCGGGCTGTTCAAGTGGTAATTTAAATCTGTTTCCAATGCTAGCTGTATCACTGCATCTGTGAAAGACAGACGGCGACTCTCCGCTGTCAAGACTTCCAAGGTTGTAAGGTCTGTGCTGGGTCGCATTGTCTGCATCCTCAACAAATTGATGCCTTTTCGCTTATTCGCAACTTCCAGATGTCTGTGCGTGTACGAAAGTTGACAACAGGGAACATGAAGCTTGCTCGGACTGATGCAGCATTATTGCTAGGTAGACGAACCTTTCTGAAAGTCCAAGAAATGCCCGAATTGAGGGTACTTTGGTGACTGTGCTATCCATCAACTTGCGTATCCATCTCCTCAGCTAACCAATCCGACTGCCCGATGACGATACCTAGTGTGCGCATGTGGGGCTCTGGCCTCCAGACATGCATGGCTGGAATCGCGGCTGGGATCGCTGCCAGCAGGTGTCACCGGCTTCTCAAGGAGGTTTAGGACTTTTGGGCACGAAGAAAGAACATTATCGCAGTACGTTGGCGTGCGAAGGAACATTATCGCAGTACGTCGGCGTGCGAAAGAGAAAAGCGGAGCCTTGGCTTAGTACGAAACCCCTGGGGCCGGCTCGCGCTCTCGCTCTACCGAACCTGATCGCGGCCAAATCCACGCGGGATCGGATGCTCCTCCCCGCTGTCCGCACTGATGTGTTCCTGGCCACATTTGCATTTAGGGCAATACAACAACCTCCGGCCACAGGAAGCAATGGCGTAACGATTTTTGGTACTATTCGGCAATGAACCATCGTGGCCAGGTTTTCCTTAGGCAAGGCTTCATCGGTGCCACTCCGTCCACATCGTGTAGGGCAAACGTAAGGTGCGTGAGCGCATGTGCGTAGGCAGGCCCAAGATGGCGCATCTTGAGATTCGAGCGATCGGTCACAACAGCGCGGGAACTGCAGAGTTTCAGAACTTTCAGGAACAGGCACTCACAGGCACCACTATCATCAATCGTGCCTGCCACACTCGTTGACATGACTTCGATATAAGTTACGCTTGAAATCGCCGTCTGAGATTCATTGTCATTGTATTCGAAGTACTAGATCGCTCCCTCTGATATCCATTTACTGGATATACCCGCGTCTTTAACTTTCCTCATGAGCTGCCCTCACGCAACCTCCGATAGCGGCGTCAGTGCGATTACCATCGTTGGCGTCGCTTACGGCGCGGTCTCCATCACCATCGCATCAGCAAATCTTTTCCTCGAATATCGGAAGTTTTGCAAGGCCAACGACCGAGGTATGTCTAATGCCCAGCGAACAAAGGCGATGGCCAGTGCCGCCTTGGACTGACCACTCATGAAGCTTGCGGAGCCAGCGACGTGGAGTTGCAGGGTCAGGCAGTCTCGAATGATCATTGCGGCGTTTGAAGTTCTGCACTGCTCACGCTGTGGCATACGAATTCTTCGACCGGTCTACGAAGCGTGTTGACAGATACTCGGGGCAATTGCAGCCACATCTGCTTGTTGTGTGGCGAAGCCAATGTGGCGGGGTAGATCGAGACGGTGGCGTTGTGATGACCTGGGATGGTTCGCATAGTCGGAACACGTGACTAGTCCGAGCGGAAAAGAGCTTCCCTCGCTTACAAGCTGCCCAGGTGTATTAGACGTCACCAATGTTTTCGTTTCAATGCATTCCTAGAGCCCAAATTCCAGTATTATATGAGCCCCAGAGTGGGAATGACATGTTCCATTGGCTGGTCCCATCAGCCTTCCAAGGTTGTGTAAGCCACCCACTTTATGTCTCAGCGGCAGCCTGAACCCCGCTGCTTGGCAGCCTGATGTATCTGCAGCCTGCCCTCGTCGATAAACTGTAATCTCGGCGTTCGCGCATTCTCTGGTCGCGGACTAGATGACTTTGAAAACCGACCCTCATGGATGCGACCGACGCTCACCTAGAAGAGGGCAAGATCGACTGGACGACTTCTACAGGCAATGTGATGACGCGCCTCCCCTGCAGCGGCTTCGCCGACTTCCTCTACTCGAACCGAACACCCAAAGACCCGACCTCTGCTGGTTTCATTCTGCATACAACTAGTAGCAACGTAGCAAAGGGTGCTGCCGCGGGTTGTAAGGGATGTGCGCTCATACACGATGCTGTCACAACTTTTAGACAGGACCGACTGCCATCGGATGACTGTGATATCAACCTGAGATCCAGAAACGATGTGATAAATTCTTCTTGTCTGAAGATCACGTTCTCCCTTTATCCGGTCCGTAAAAGAACGAAAGAGGAGGGCGCAGATACCACGAAAGAGCCAGTTAAAGCGACCGATGCCGCCGAGAATCATGTACGCGAGTACTTGGAGTATGGGGTTGCAGTGCGGTTGGACTGGTCGAGGGGTAAGTGATCTGCCCACTAGCCACAGTGTTCCATCCACACTGTAGTATAGACTGACGAGTGGATATCAGACGCCCTAAGTCTTAATGAGGGTCTATCTCTCAAACCATTAGCAGCTTCCCGACCACATTCGCATCTTCCTAATTGTACTTCCTCCAGCGAAACATCTCGGAGGTTAAATCAGTGGCTCGTCGCGTGCGCGGAAACACACCCAGCATGCCAAATCTCCTCGGAGACGGCGCTGCCAAAACGAGTGCTCGAAATACATAATGCATACGTATATCTCCGAGAGGATACAGTCGAAAAGGGTAGATATGCGTGTCTGAGTCACTGCTGGGGCGCGCAGGGCCCGTCGTTCAAGCTTGAACAATCTACTTATCAGCAACTTGCTAGCGGAGTTGCCGTGGAGCAATTACCGAAAACGTTCCAGGATGCGGTTTCTATATGTATTGGCATGGAACTTCGATTCCTCTGGATTGATGCTTTGTGTGAGTAATCATTTTCATGACTCATGTACATTGCTAAGCCTCTCGAAGGTATCAAGCAAGACGACGTGGAGGACTGGACGGAGGCGGCTGCGACTATGGGCGATATTTACGAGAATTCTTGGATCACTATCGCAGCTACTGGATCACACAGCAGTCAAAGAGGGATCTACTCGACTGTTTCAGACCGTTACAAAGCCAGAGCGTTGGAAAACCACGAGTTTCAAGTACGAGAAGCCCTACCGGAGTTCAGCGATCCAGATCAGCACTTTTGGAATCACGATAATTGGCCACTCCTGCGCAGGGCTTGGGTATATCAAGAGCGGCAGCTATCGTCCCGCATGGTTCACTTTGGTCAGCAGCAAATCCTCTGGGCATGCAATTCATCGTTCCAATCACAAGACGGATGGTATCCCTCAAAATGGAACCCTAGTATGAAAAAGAGTCTTTCGGACTGGACGTACATTGTGTCAGAGTATTCAGCATTGCAGCTATCCTACGAAAGCGACCGTCTGGCCGCTATCGCTGCCATTGTCCTGCGTGTTATGCAAATTCGACCGGACGATACCTATATTGCAGGCATGTGGAAAGATACTCTCATCCCTGACCTATTCTGGTACAGGTGCGCCCCCCAAGATGGAGCTGGCCGTACGCACCGCATACCGACATGGTCTTGGGCCTCCGCACCTGTTTCAATACGGCATTTCATCACGGAACAACCTTATCAGCAGGTTGTGCAACTACTGGATGTGACCTTTACCTCCATAGGAATACCTCATATAGGGCAAGTCGAAGATGCTAGTATCACGCTACAAGGACCCGCCTGTAGCCTTCCAAGATCAGCGTATGCTATCTTGGAAGAGAGTGATACAGCCGCATACTGGGCATACACAGTAGTCCCCATGACGTCGGATGTCGCATGCGCTATCTTCAAAGACTTCGATTGGCAAACTGTCGAGCCTCCCGTAGGCTCCGACCATGAATTGACCGTCTTGTTCCTATGCGAAGAACTCGGCGACTCTGCGCGTGTGGGACAGCATTTTGGGGGCATGGTTCTGAAAGCAGTCGAAAATGATGCCTTCGAACGGGTTGGGTTTGTCTATATCTACCCGGATCCCAGTAAGTACAAATACCCTTCTTCCAAGGAAAGTCGCGACGAGGAAAGCAGTGAAGAAGGAGGTGCCGAAGCCGCCAAAGACGACGAGGATGGCGAAGATGACGAAAGGATGGATGATAAGAACACAGCTCACAAAGGAGCTGTCTACTTTTCTGCAACTAGACCTCTTCTTGGTGCAGAAAGGGTTGAGATCAATGACATCGAAGATGGAACAAGCGGAAGTGATGGCGATGATCATACAGTATCTTCTTTTGTTCGCGCATTACCGGTGCAAACTTTCAGAATCGTTTGACAACATCGTTCATATTTGAGGGGACTGTTTGTGGGTTCATCAATCTCTGAATTCATGCTAGTTCATTACAACCCAAACTCCAGAATAGCGTGAGCCCCAGTACCTTCTTTACATCGGTGAACCAGTCCCTCTGCTTCACTTCTCAACGTCTGCTCCACTAAGAAGCTCATCTGAACGTCGCTCAACAGTTGGCAGCGCTGCAGTTCAAGCAAATCGCTCAAGTGGCAGTGAAAGCACATGGTCACATCGTCGAGTGGTGTCTGCTGCTTGCCCGGCTCACTCGAACCATAATTACTCTTCGTCGTAGCCCCAGTACCTTTGCGCAGCACTGAAGGAGTGCGCAACTCCGGCAACAGTATGACCGCAAAGCCAGATATCAGCCATCTTCCGCTGGCGTCGAGACTGAGGATGAACGCGTTGTTGACGTCGGTAACACCAGAGAACATGCAGATGCGGTCGCCAGATCCTATCTCATATGACCCTGGGCCTCCTCCGCAAGCAAATCCCGTAATGCCATTGGTGCCTACGAAGGATGTGTATCGCGCATGTCGTTGGTCGGTGTTTCGTCGAGCCAATTTACTTCTAGCAGCGAGGTATAGTGCCGCCGCGTCCTCCGTCATGCTCCGGGAAACGATGTTACGGATGACTTTGCTCCCATTGTCACCAAGCTGTGGACTGGCGCTCGCATCATGCCCTTGCTCGACAAATGCGCGCGATAGGCCATCGATCACCAGATCCGCGGACGCTTCTATCATCGCTTGCCGCACTTTTTCAGTCGGGCCGGGGTTTCCGTATGCTACATGAGGGTCGGCAAAGCTGAGCAGCGTTTGCGTGTCTCCTTTGGTGACGTAGTCACCGAGGTCCTGGATGTCTTGGGTCGAGAAGGATCTTGGATGCATATTTGATCGCGTCCAGGTCGCTCTCCACGTGCCTGGTTGGAAGGCTTCGTCGTGATCTACAAAATTACCAACTTCCGTTATGGTACTAACGAATGAGACCGATGCAGTCATGCAGGGCGTGGCGGCCACGATGTAGAGATGTGGCTGCAGATTCGGGCACAACTTTAGGATATGCTGTGCGAGGGTCTCACGCGAGACACCTAGCGCTTGCATGAGGAACGTCAGGAAACGATAATCGTCCGAGTCTCCTCTCCTAGGATCCTCGTGGCATTGATTGCGAAGCACATCGACGAGTAGCTCCACGGGTGCTTTGTTGTAGTCAGGGACGATCCTCTCTCCACGGCCAGTCGATGCGACTCCCAGGAACCCGTAGACTCTATCGTACACTACAGAGCTTTCCGACAATGCAAAGGCCTGTAAGAGATCGCGCAAGCGAAACGTGGACTTCAGGGTTTTGCTGTTGCGGCGACCGAGCATCTCCCTCCGGTATTGCTTCGTGCGTTTGAAGTCTTTGCGGTACTTGAACAGCAGATAGCCGCGACTTGTATAGATCATGCTTGTTGGTGACGCGACTGGTGCGGACGCAAGGCCGTCGCGCCAGATGCATTCGACTGTCGCAGCAGCCACACTGAGGTCGCCACACCAAATGTCGACCGACTGTGCCAGCACAAACTCCTGAACCACCCACACACGACTCCAATACGGCTTGTTAAGGACATTCGCCAGCGCATTATGAAACTCTTCGACTCTGAGGAGGTCAGGACGCCGTGCAAGCATGAAAGCCAACTCTTCATATCCCTGGGGAAGTCCGAGCCACACTATGACAGATTGCGCTCCAGTGTAAACATCGCGCATGAGCGAGACTTGGTGATTGCGCTCCGGTATGTTGCTCTGATTAATCGCGATAGCGTCAATCCACAAGGGCACAGCCTTGCCAGGATCCTTCTCGCAGCACTGCCGAAGGTACTGCTTCCTCCGGTATTGCTGAATGAAGTTCCATAGGCTCTCTCCAACGGCGAATTTCGATCCTTGGATGTCGATGTACTTCTTCTCGCCAGCCTTGTCCCACATGTAAGATAGTGCGATGAAGGCAGGCTTGTCGTCCAGGTCGCAGACGGATAGTGTCGCCTGTATGGGCTCATGTTCGGGTGCCGGCAGTATTTCCAAAAGCCTAACGCTCTTTTTGTTTGGGTCTAGAGAGCCATACTGCAGTAAGGGTAAGGCTCCCAGTGGGTCATCATCCTGGTCTGGTGTTGCCGGCGGACTGGCGGGCGCGGTAGTTGGCGCAGAGGACTTGCGCCGCAGCTTTTGCAGCCGAAAAGGGTCAACAAAGGTCTTCTTTAGTATGCTCTGAGTCGTCCGCTCCGGTGCGGCCATGATCCTGTATTGTGCACAAATGCGACGATGTAGCAACAGGATCCTTAGTGGGTCTCATCAGTGGTAAGGCTGAGGTGCAAGTGGAGAAAGAACGCGGCGCAAGAGAACCTTCCTTGTCCAGGCCATCGTTAAACGTCGCGTGATCAAGGATACAGCCCGACAATAAGAGCTTTCAACGATGACCAGCGAGTAGGCGTTGATGTGGCTTGCAGCACGGTGCCTAGATGATGGATGTCTGAGGCCAGAAGTTCGTCCGAGAGACCTCGGGATCCTTTAGCGATGCTGACTAAGCATACAGAGATGGGTGGTGTGGGGGCCAAAAGCGTTCCCAGCCCCCAGAATTCCTTCCGTCATCATCATCATCTGCGAGAAGCGTACCCAACCGAGGAAACCAATATTTGGCTCTAAGGCTAGTGCGCAAATCGCTCCAACAGGTGGTTCTCTGATCGCCTCGACGATGGCGTCGCGTCTCTGTACTTCAGGCGCATACGACGCGATTGTAACGGCAGCGACAACCTCTACAGTACGGCGGCATCATCTTGAGCTGCTTTTATCAATCGAAACGACAGCCGCCATCCGCAATTGGTGAGGTCAGATGCGAAGCTGGGGATCAGGAGGACCAGCATGATTGTCTTACCGTGTAGCATTCTCGTAACCACCGATGCGCAACTAAATCACCATGAACTAACTGTACGAAAGAACTCACTATATATGACAGCTTGATAGTCAGTCTTTCAAAGACGCATGAGCCGGAGAAGCCAACGTAATGTGACGACACGACAGCTCCAACACCACAAGAAGACCTCAAGCCGGGTACCTGCTCGATGAGTTGGTGTTCACGGTAGTGTTGTTCTTCGCTGGTTAAGATGCATCTCTACTGGTTTGTTGCATGCCGATACAACAGCCATGTCCAGATCGCTCGGTAATCTCCAAGACCAAGCAAATCGCAGCACACGTATTCGATAGTCAACCGCCTATGTTTGCTGCACTCATCGTCCTCAACATTTTGCATCTGTCTCATCTCGCAGCCTTGGGGATCCGTCAGTTCTCCACCAATCGTTTACCACGTATTACCGAGTATCATCTATTCAGAACCCAGTCGGATGTATCGCAACGAGCTCAGCACCCAGCGGATATGCTTGGAACGCGGGATAGACATTGACTCCATGTGTTTTAGATTCCTGCAAAGCTGCACTATATCCGGAGCGGAGATGAAATCGGTATCTAGAGTATTTGAAGGAGCACTTACAGGGAAAAGGTCGTTAAAGAGATGCGCGAAAGCCTTTGACAGGCACTGATCCTCAGAAACGTACTCTTCTCATACCTTCCTTATCGAGAAGATGAAGTGTTTTAGTCTCGTCCTCGGCGTTCTCGCAACACTTGCGGCTGCACAAACAACATCCCCGTACACCGATACCAAATCAGGCATCACATTCAACACCCTCCAGCACAGTAGCGGCATGTTCTTCGGTCTTGCACTTCCAGCTAACGCCACCGGAAATACTGACTTCATCGCAACGATCGGGGGCAAAGGCACGGGGTGGAGCGGTGTTTCTCTCGGAGGTGGGATGCTCAACAAGCTCTTGATCGTCGCTTGGCCAGACGCTCAAACTGTAGTGGGTAGCTTCAGGAAGACTGCGTACGCTCAAGCTAAACAAACAACCTCAACAGTGAGGTGATGCTAACAGCCAGCAGTCAATACGCCTCTCCAGCCGTCGCAACCGGCACTTTCACACAAATTCCAATAGCAAACGGCACATACGTCAACAGCACGCACTGGACCTACACATTCCTCTGCTCCAAGTGCATTCAAACCGACGGCACGACGTTCAAGCCAACTGATGCAGCACCAAGTCTCGGATTCGCGTTCAATCCGACAGCGCCGGTCCAAAAGACGAATCCCGCTTCTAGTGTATCGAAGCATACGGCGCAGGGGCAAGCGGTATTTGACCTAAGCAGAGCTAAGAGCGCGAACTTCGAGGTCTGGAAGGCCTACGCTGTGCCGAAAGTCGCTACGGGCTTTGCGGGCTAGGTAGTGCGACGGCTAAATGGGGTTGAATGCGAGAGGAAGTTGGGGTTATCAAGTTGGAACTGCGGATGTGGTCTGTGGATTTCGGTACCTTTGAGTGCGTACGCATGATTGTGATTGTTCTCGCAGCTTTTCTTTGTTGGGTTATGCATGTCATTTCACTGTTCCCAAGCATGCGGTTCAAGATCTACCGCTCCGTGCCTGATCACCCTTCCCGTCTTTAGCCTGATTGCAGCGAACGAACTGTGCGGGGGTGACCGTGCACACGAAGCACTAGAGTCTAGATGGAGAATTCCTGGCGCACGCGCTTCTGGAGGGAACTATCAGTTCATAGCTAGTTCGGTTGTGTTGACGATCAGATGCAGGGGACTAGAATAAGGACAAGTGACGTAGACGAGAAAGGCGGTCATGTAACATCACGGGCGCAGTAGTCTCATGGGAAACTTGATGGCGTAAAGGAAAGTGTTTGATTTTATTATGCACTACAGCTTACTTCTACCATCGAAAGAAACTTCTGAAAGTAGGAAGACCAAAAGGATTGAGAATATCGAAAGCGTTACGGGCTTTGATCAAATCAGCTCCCTTCTCTGCGACAGCGTACATGGTCGCTTGTAAGTGTGTCGCGGGGATCAATGGGATGATACTTGCGTCAACGATGCTGAGGCCCTTCACACCATGCACAGTCAGGTCGCTGCCAACGCACCCGCCCAAAGACTCCGGCATCATTGCGCAGCTACCAGACATGTGTGCGAAAGAAGCCTGGAGAGCCTTTTGCTGAACAAGGTCATTGATGATCTCATCGTCCGTCTGCGCCTGGGTGCCGGGCGTGAGCTCGACGGGAGAGAACTTCTTGAGCTCAGGGTTTGCCCAGTGCTTGCGCGTCCATCGGACCATTCCGGCGATGATCTGACGATCGACGGGGTTTTGAAGGGCGTTGAACTGGACAACGGGGTTGCCGTATTTGTTGCTTGGGTTGATGGTGACGGTGCCGCGAGAGAGGGGGCGTTGCAGGGAGCTGATGGCGAGACCGAAGGGTACCATGGGGAACTCGCCAACAGCGGCGTCGGCGCTACTATGGAGACCAGCGATGATGTCGCGTTGCTTGGTGAAGCCGCGTAGCAGAGAGGAGTCGTCATACACTGCAGGAAGGTAGCTACGGACGTTCTGTGACTTGACAGTCTGCACAATCTGGTTCCAGTTGTCGCATACTGTCTGCAGACTGAGGAAGGCTAGGCTGCTGCCATGGGCTTGCGTGAGGGGACCGCTCCTGCTAGTATCGTACTCTGACCATACTGTAGCGTTATAAGTGGGGTCTGCGCCGCTGTAGATGTTGGGGAAAGCCAGGTTCTTGAGGTCGAACACCATGTTCGCATTAGGGTGGTCTTGCATATTGGCGCCAACAGCAGGCATGTTCTTCTTCACATTGATGCCCGCAGCTTTAAGTACGCTGCTTGGTCCAATGCCGCTGAGCTGAAGGATCTGTGGTGTGAAGATTGAGCCAGCAGCCATGATGACCTCGCGCTTCGCATAGACCTGCTTGACCGAGCCATCCGATCGCGATTTAAATTGGACACCATTGGCTGTGTATCCAGTAAGTAACTTCTTGTCGAAGAGGACCTCGTTGACAGTCTTTCCGGTGACGAGTACAAGGTTGCTGCGGGTCTTGACAGGGTCGTAGTACTCGTTCTTCGCATGGGATCGTGTCTGAGTCTTTGGTCGCAGAGCTGTGGGTATCCAGAAAGCACCCACTGCCCGCCCCGCAGCATGCTCTCTGGGCAAAGGCACGCCTGATTGCTTGTATGCTGCCCAGATGGTCTTTGTGTCTTCGTACTCGAAGTTTGGGAACGATGCTTGTATCGGCCCGTTGGTGCCGTAATAGGATGCGTCATACGTAGTGCCAAAGCTCTTCACGTTGGTTGAGGTTGGTGGCGTGAATGTGGTCGACTTCTTGAAGTAGTACAAGAGGCTGTTGAAGTTCCAGCCGGCGTTACCAAGTTGCTCCCACGCATTGTAGTCGGCAGCAGATGCTCGGTCAAAGGCCATACCGTTGACTACAGATCCACCACCAACAACATTACCCACCCAGACAGGATGTGTACCGCCTGTGTTTGTGTCATATGCAGACGTGATGTCGTACATGAGATTTGCGTTGACACTGTTGGCAAAGCTAGGTACTTGAGTGGTCACATCGTCGACGACATATCCATTTTCGATAACGAGAACAGTACCTGAGGATGTTAGGTCCATGTGTCAACGCCCAATGTGGTTACTCACGGCTTGAATCTTCGCTGAGGCGGTTGGCAACTGTCAGGCCTGTCAACCCGCCACCAACGATGATGTAGTCGAAGGATTGCCCTCCAACATCTGGCTCGCCGCTGCTGCTACCCGGAGAGGACGGATCCAACACGCGCGGCACGAAAGACGCAAGGTAAAAAATGCCCCCAAGAAGAAGAGACATATTAGAAATTATGAACAGAAGGAGTGTATGAGCACCAGTCGAATGGCGCAAGGGTGAGTGGTGCGTCCAGAGCTAAGATTACGGATCGTCGAAGGTTTATACCAGGACTGATCCGTTTGTCAGGTAGCTGACGGACGGGCCACCCCTGAGTACGCAAAGCTACTGAAGTGTTTCGCTTGCGAATAAACGAGCTTCGGCATGCCATGGCAGTTCTATATTACCCGCTGGGCGTTGCGTAACGACTTTTTCTCGTGGAGTAACTGGCGCTCAAAGGTACCATACTCTGCAGTGCTCAATGTAGCATGTTGCCCGGGTTCTTGGATCGATTCTGCGCGGGAACAACGTAGAGATCCGCAAACCTTGCTGAAAAGTATAACCGTAGTCGACTAGAAACGGTAAGCCTGATGATCCTGTCAATCTGCCCGGCTATCGACAAGCCTAGAGCTGCAGTCATCGATATCTGGCAAGTACAGCTAACGTGGCGTCGACTATCAGCTCCCGCCGTAACAACCACGTGCATCGTCGTATGACGTGCGCCACGCGAGCTGATGAGGAGGTTTTACCCTGGATGGTGCAGCGCTTTGTCCTGCGAACCACATAGTAGTCGATAGTTCAAAGGGCGAGACCGACGGTGTGGTGATGGCGAAGCGGCGGCCCCTGGTACAACCGCGGGAATGCAGGGGCCACGGCTGTCATGTTGCAAGAGCCGTACTGGTGAAAATCTCCATCGTCCTCATCCTGCTGTCGCGCTGCTGCGGGTCGTCATTAGGTCGATTGTTATGCTTTGGCGTACGAGTGTTTAGGTTTTGCAGTCGTCTAGATTATCGGTGGCGGCCGGAGATGGCTCAATCAGGTATGGCGCGCTCTTATCTGACACTAGCTACACAAAGACAGAAACCTGGCGGCATCACTAACTTCACGGACTCAGCAACCGTCGCTTGTCAATCTTTCCTGCTGCGGGCACCCACGTTGTACTAGAATTATTGCGGTAGCGAAGAGCGAGCAACAAGCCGGTGCTGTCGCACCCGTTCGGCCCGTTCACTGAGTATGACATCGTCACAGAGACTTCGCGTCGGCTGCTCACATTGAAGAATGTAAGGGGCATTTGATGCGCTCGAACTCATGGACACTCGATATCCTCGGTGTCTGTTCACTCCGCTTCCGTGGCTCAGCCAGACTACTTGACAAGGCCGTTTCGAGCCTGATGGCCTGGCATCTGCGCCCGCCTGAGCTAAACCTTCGTGCAACGGCGCGCATCATAACCTCTTAGCCCATGCCACGACGGCTAACCGAGTGACAGATGTCGTGCTTGCTGGCTCCGCTCATAACTCACGATGAACCTAATCTCGGGGCTGTGGGTTAGCAGCATGCAAGAGTTTGGTTGGGTTTGTTTCCAGAAGACAAATTGGGAGTGGCTGTGGAAGGTGTCCCGACCGTGCGCTTCTGGCTCTTTCAGGGCTTGCGCAAGAGGAAGAGGAGATACGTTTGATCTGCAGAGCCTTGCGGCTCGGCTGCCTCCTTCAAGCTGATCAGTGGAGATCTGGACCACGATGTCCGAGCATGAACGCATCCTGACTAACGACCTGCCACGGTGATGTGCGCTAGTCCTCGGCGCACAGTCGTAGGAATAGGGTTTAACCGCCTCCTGCATGCTTCGTTGCGTCTTACGGGATTGGCTGAGTTTGACATCGGTCGGCCACTCCGCCGTTTATGTCTGGCTATCTGCAGAACGTTAACAGAGCAATTATAACAGCACGTCCACCCGGCCCGTTGCTGCATCAGCCTGCATAGCATTTCAGGTGATCAGCAGAAGCTCATTTCGAGGAGAGGTTTCCGGTCAGCCAATTTCATTGGGCATCTTTATCTTTCCGTGTCTCATCCTCTTTACATTCTCCCATTCGCAATGGGTGTACCCACAACACCGGAGGGGCTTCCTCTGGACGACCGCTCCAATGCGCTCAAGATACCCATCATCGCTTTGATCATATTCAGCTCCATATTCGTTCTACTCCGCTTGGGCATAAACTGGAGGAATAGGAATTACTTCCTACTAACCGATCACCTCCTATGGACGGGACATGTAAGTCGCGGTCGAACGAGAGTTTGAAGCGTTTGCTAATCGGCTTCAGGTCATAGCTGTCGCAGGCGCAGCATGTTGCTACAAGATGGCTGAAGTTGGGGCCGGCAGGCACGTCTGGGACCCTATGTTGACACCACAAAACATGGAAACGTACCTCTACTTCCTCTGGGTGGGCCAGCTGCTTAATCTATACGGAATGGCTTTGATCAAGCTGAGCGTGTGCGCCTACATCTTCATGCTGGACTTCTCGCGAACCTTCCGGATCATCATTTGGGCTTCCGTCGTGATCCATCTCGGCGTCAACTTCGTCTTTCCCACAGTCATTCTATTCGGCGAATGCACCCCATACACCAAGCATTGGGACGTCTCTGGAATGAAACCTGGCTCTTGCTGGGATGCGAAGCCGCGTGTCATCTCTGGATACTCCGGCGCTGCCGTCAACATCGCGACCGACCTACTCTACACCATGGCGCCGCTTATCTACATTGCGAGGGTGCAACTTCCGAAGCGGACGATCTGGGGCGTTCGCGCTGTGTTCCTGTGTGGTCTCATGTAAGTTGTCTTGTCACCAAGCATTCTGGTCATATCACTAACACTCGTCAGTACAACCACCATATCCGCACTCAAACTCTACGAGATGAAGTCCTTGAACGAATCGCCAGATCCAACCTATTCCTCCGTCAACCTCAGCATCTTCGCCATCGCCGAAGTCTTCGTTGGCGCCTTTACTGCTTCGCTTCCACCACTCCGCAAAACATTCGAAAATGTCCTCCGCAAAGTGCTCCCCACCAGTTTAACAGGAGGATCAGGCAAGGGATCGCGACAAAGCTATGCGCTCCAAGTATCAGGGCCCCAGGTCAGCGGAAGGTCTTCAAAGCCGAAGCACGAGACGGACGATGACAGTGAGCTCGGCATACTGCCAGACGAGGCGAGCCATGAGAGGAAAGGCTCCGATCACGCGATCATGAAGACTACACATGTCAGTGTGACAGCCGACAGCAAGAGTATAGCGTCGCGCGACCATACTGAGTGGGCTTAAAACGCTTCTCTACACAGAAGCATATAGTAATGATAATGAATTAATGATCTTCAAACCCATCCTGCTACCAAATACCGGGAATGCATTCCCGCACCGTTGCGTACTCACTGACGAATTCCCGCTCCCATGGTCATCATGATCACCGTCAGGGGCTGTCCCGCAGATCCCTGTTTCATACCTAGCCGAGGTAACATCGATCAGCAACCTCATCTGCACCACATCACCTTCCATCAACATGTCGAAGCCGTCGAAACCATATCGTCGCGATCTTCAGTTTCGTGGCTTCGCTGAGGGCCTGACGTACCTCAACAGCGACGGCCAAGCACAGTGTCATTATTTCGGCGGCGTCCCGTACGCCCTCCCACCCGTCGGCCCCTTTCGCTTCCAAAAGCCACGATCCCTACCACCATGCTACCGCTACGGCACAAAACCGAACCCAGGACGATATACAGGCGGCTGTGGAATATGCCCTCAGCCAGGCTCCAACACTGCAACCCTTGACGAGCCCGCCTGGGACGAAGATTGTCTGCAAACCAACATCTGGATCCCAGCCGGGCCATCGCCAGCAGAAGGTAATGTCCCTGACTCTTCCGCATCTCAACCAATTGAAAGCTGACTCGGGGAGGTTGGCCGGTACTATTCTGGATCCGTAAGTAATCATTTTCCTTCCTCGCACTCGTAACCTCTTAGTGCTTGGCATCGCCGTTTCACGGCAGACAGCATTCCAGGCAGATCTTCGCCTGGCGCACATTGGCACGGGAAAATAAACTCTGGCACCACGTGGTAGATCCGCACTAACGCGCCCTAGACGGCGGGTTCCTGCAATGGGGTAGCCCGAACGGACTCGACCTCCGTGCGCTACTCAGCGAGTCCCCCATCCAATGCGTCGTCGTCGCTCCCGCGTACCGCCTAAACGTATTCGGGTTTCTCGCATCCAACGAGCTGATCGACTCGTGTCCTGCTACTGATGGTTTTGGCGTTAATCTTGGCTTCTGGGATCAGCGCATGGCTTTGCAGTGGACGTATGAGAATGTTAGCTATTTTGGTGGGGACGCCGCGAATATTACTGTCGGGGGTTACTCGGCGGGTTCGCACTCGGTGTTCCATCAGCTGTCGTACGATCTCGGTTGCGCGGATGGGAAGGCGGTTGTTAAGAGGGCGTTGATGCTGTCGAATGGGCCGGGCATGCAACCGAAGAGTTTGGAGGAGGCGCAGGACCAGTTTGATGAGCTATTGGGGGCGTTGGGTATTGATTTGGCGAAGTCGCCGGCTGAGAAGTTGGCACGGCTTCGTGAGTTGAGTCCGAGGGCGATTGTGGAAGCGAGTAACGGGATCAAGCTGCATCAGTTCCGCGCTGTTACTGAGGGGGAGTTTGTAAGGCATGGGCTTCTCGAAGAGCTGTCGAATGGTGTTTATGCGGAGCGCATGAAACGCCGCAACGTCAAGCTCATTAATGGCGAATGCAGCGACGAGCACCATGTCTACGGTCTTTGGCGACCGCCTAGACCGGGCTTCGATAACATGCTGTACCGCCTTGAAGCTGACTATCCTCGCGAGGCATGCAAGGTGTTGATGTCGCACTACTTTCCCAATCGCAAACTACCGTCAAAATACTCGAGCTGGCAGGCGGCTTTCGGTCATATCTACGCTGATGTTCAGATTCACGCACTACGTCGCGGGATGGTCAACGCGCTGGTGAAGCATGGTGCGGGAGATCTCATTCATCGATACCGCATCGAATGGCGTGCGCAGTGTGTTGATAAAGAGTTACCCAAGCACTTCGGTGCTAGTCACGGTTCCGACATGGCGATATGGTTCTGGGGCAATGGAAGCGATCTGACTGAGGAGGAAAAGAAGATTGCATTAAAGACATTTCACGAACCGTTGAGCAGGTTCTTGAAGGGCGAAGAGGTGGATTGGGGCACAAAGCATGGAATGCAATTGAGAACGCTGAAGAAAGATGGAAATGTCGCTGTCGAAGAAGACAGTCGACTGGAAGAAGGCTTGAGACTGTGGAATGCGCTGAAGACGGCTGGCGCTACTGGTGACCCGAAGGACACTGCGAAGTTGTAATGGCAGAATGTTATTATGTTGTGAACAGAATTGAAACCTCTACAATCTTCAAAAAGCGCGGCAAACCTACATATTACCCTATTACCCGATTAGGAAGGTTTAGTACAAGTGTAGATTACAGCGAGGTGTCTCCAGGCTCCTACACGTCGTAGAAGGCCTACTCGACCTTGCTGTCGCTGTCATGAGGTTTCCCATGTCCGCCCTGGCAGTTGCTACGCTTATGCTCCTCGCCCGCGGAAATCATTCCGAAGACATGGCTTCGGCTCGGCAACCGCGTCCACATTTCAGATACTCAACTTTCCGTTTTCTCATCAACAAGTGACAATTCACTATACTAGCCGTATGGTCTAACATCACTAAATCACGCTTGTTGACTTCTTCTTCATGGGTGGGTAAAGGAGGCGGAGAGGAGCAGGAGAGAAGAAGAAGAAGAGGTGGTGGTGGATATTTTGCATCGGTCTGACATGATAGATAGACATCTCGTCTCGAACAACACACATCCCTCGTCCAGCGATCCTAAGAACCTAAAGTTTAGACTCACCCCCCTCTCCATCCCCCTCCAACCTAAACACCTTATCCGGATTCAAAATCCCCCTCGGATCCAAAGCTCTCTTAACGCCCCTCATCACCTCCACACCCTCGCTCCCCACTTCCTCCTCCAACGCATCCCTCAACTTCATCCCCACACCATGCTCACCCGTCACCGTGCCCTCCAAGCTAAGCGCTAACCTCGCGATATCCATAATTACACTCATCGCAGCATCGTAATGCTCCTGTGGGCACACGATGCTGGAGTGCACGTTGCCATCTCCGATATGCCCGACATTCGCACAGAACCAATCCGCTTGATTCGCGACTGAAGCTTTAGTGATGAGCTCTTGAGTTCCAGCGACGAGGCGGGAGAGATGTGAAATAGGAACCGCGCAATCGCTGTGTAAGAAAAGATCCGTATCCTTCTTCTTCATGGCGAGCAGGGCTGTGCCCATACATTTCCTCGCTCCCCAGATCACACCCACCGCGCCCTCCTCACTCGTGATCTCAACATGCGATGCACCATGGTTTTTACACAGCTCTTGCATGACATCGATCTGGTCTTGCACACTATACACCGACGGCCCCGCAATCTTAAAAAACAGCGTCGGCACTTCCTCAAACCTGCGCGCAGGCGCAAGACCAGACACATTAACACACCGCATCTGTGGCCCATCCGCCAACTCCAACGCCTCAAGCCGATGACCCAGTTTCTGCAGGCTCACAACCACATCGACACCTTCTTGGAACGTCTTGAAAGTAGCAAGCCCAACATGCAAATTCCGCGGTATCGGCGCAAGACGCAACACAGCTTCCGTGACGAGCGCAAGTGTACCTTCAGATCCGATAACGAGATGCGTGAGGTCGTAGCCCGCAGATGTTTTCCGGGGTCTGTGGTGTGTTTTAACGATGGCGCCGGAGGCGAGGACGCAGGTTAGTGAGATGACGTTTTCGGCCATGGTGCCGTAGTGGTAGGCGTTTGTTCCTGAGCAGGACATTGCTATCTTGCTTGGTGTTAGCAACACACCCATCGGACTGGCTTCATTGGCATGAATTGATACATACCATGCCACCTATCTTCGCCCCCGGCGCGGGATCAACAGGAAAAAACAACCCTTTCTCTTGCAATGCCTACAGAGGTAGACATACTCGTCAGTATATATCTCACACACCCTTCATCCAGCCAGAACCTACCTCATTCAACTCCACCCACCCCACCCCCGGCTGCACAACAACATCCATATCATCCTCATTCACCTCCACAATCCCCCTCATCTTCTCAAAACTCACACAAACCCCTCCCCTCACATTCCCCAGCGCCTGCCCGAAGCTCGTGCCACCGGAAAACGGCGTTACAGCTATACGACGTTCGTTGCATGCTTTTAGCACAAGGGATGTTTCTTCGGTGGTTTGGGGGAAGGCGACTATGAGGGGTGTGTGGGTTGGCGGTGCGGGGGACCAGGGCGTGTTTGATTTGCCGGAGCGGGTGGAGAGGTCGAGGGTGTGGGGGATGTTGTGGGGGATGAGTGAGGAGAGGAGGGAGTGGATGTTTGGGGCGGAGTGGTTGTAGGTGGGTGGTGGCATGATGACAAGAACGGTGAGGCAGGGGTCGAGCTAGTCACAGATGTCATCAATCAAGGATTGGGAGCAAGAACGTTGGAGCATGTTAGGGTGTGAACGAAGTTGCCGAGGCGAAGTTATGTCATCGGATTCCGTTCCGCGGGTAAAGGCTCGGCATGGCACGCTTTGCTCCTACGCATGTTATGCACGATAACTATACTATTCCTGCTTTCAATTCAGATTGTGATTCAATAACACTATCGCCATCGACAGCGTATGCATCTCACACGGCATGTCGTAATCCTCCCTCATCTCCATCACACCCTCCAAACCCCTTATTCATCCCATCTCCGCCCCTCCTAGCACATCAAGTCCACCTCTCCCCATTCCACCCATTGCTTCTCGCCCAAACCCACCATCCCTCCCTCTCCTCCTCACTAACATCAAATACCGGTCCAAGTGCATGTAGAAAGTCTTCCTAATCCTTCCTCTGACTCCTCAGCGCCTCCTTCCTCAACCACTCAGCCCAAACGCCAAGATCATCCGCTGCATCCAGCACCCTAGCCAGCATCTTCATTTTCTTATCGAAGAGCTCTGCTTGGGCTTGTTCTTGTTCCGGACTGTCATGGTGTGCGTGGATATTTTGCTCGACGACGACGAGCTCGCCGTTGGGGTGGATGTCGATTGTTACGCCGAGGGGTGCGTTGTATGTTATTGGTGTGGATACGGGGGTGGAGGTAGAGGACAGGAGATTGGAGATGAGGTCTGCTACGTCGGGGGAAGATGTTACGGCTTCGGGGTGGGGGACGTGCAGGGTGAAGCGTGGTGTGGGCGGGTTGTAGCTTAGGGTGACGTCGAGTTGAAGGCGAGGTAGGTCTCCTTGTGCGGACGTCTGCGGTGCAGCTGTTGGTGTAGACTGCTGGCCAAGTTTGTGGGTTGGAACGGGCTTTTCGGGTGCGAGGTAGAAGCAGTCTCGTATGAGTGATGTGACATGCGCGTACTGTCTTAGTACGGGTAGCATCTCAACCAGTTGCTTTGGATGGCTGAAGGGCAGACTTTCTAGCGTGCGGCTGTACTCTAGCTTGGGTATGTAGAGACTCATGTCGTGTCGTCTGTCCAAGTCGTTTCCCGATGCGTCTTGCTCCAGCACCAGCACCTTCCGCGAACTGCGTATCTCGTGGGTACGGTCGCCTGTTGTATTGGACATGCCTGGATCTACCTCGCCTGGTCTCAGAGCCAGGCCTGCGAATGTGGTAGGACGGAAGTCGTCGGTGCGAGGCTCAATGCCAACGATCTGGTATAGCTGCATGTGCACAGCAAGTGGTACGACGAGAGGGGGGTTGAACTTGGCGATGAAGCGTACGTTGGGGAGGCGTCCAGCTGCGGAGTCGAGGTTCATGGCATCGTCGGTCTGCTCGGGGGGTTCAAGGTAGGTCGGCTTTGGGTCGAGCCAGTCTATCGAAGATGCGTTCATCAGCATATTGTCTAGGGAGACATTTGCGTCTGCGTCGGCTGACTTTTCAACAGCGTCGCTGATCCAGTCGTCGGAGATGCGGATGGGCGTGTAGAGGGTGGAGGGCGAAGATTCGCATTCGATGGTCAGGGAATACATTTTGTTGCGACTCCAGCGATCGTCTTCCGGGTACGAGGCAGACTCGGTCGACCCATCTATCTGCGCGCGTCCATCCATCCAGTATTCCAGACTCAGACCGAGACAAGATCCGCCGTTGAGCCTGGGTCGTCCGCTCTTCTTGCACAGCACTTCGCGCTCGGCCCTGTATGTCCTGAACCGCTCGTCCGGCTTCCTGTTTGCAAGCTCCGTCTTCTTTTCATGCTCAAACAATTTCCGAAGGCTCGTGTAGACTCCCGCAATCGCATTGTAGCAGCTGACCCCGCCGTTCTGCGGTGAGCCCAGCTTGTCGAGCGTCAGCAGCTTCTCCAAGCTCTCCGAGAAGCGCTCGAGCGTGACGTTCAGCTTGCTCTGGCCGGGCAGCGGCTTCAAGCTGCGCACGAGAATCTCCGAGCCCGTCGTGCCGAAGTTGAGGTCGGCTCTCGATTCGTCCAGGCCGGTCTGGAGATTGACGCTGACAATCTCGTCGTTCTTGAAGGTGACGTCGCACAGGGCCTCGTCTCCGATCAAGAGACTCCACGTGCCTGCCTCGTCCATGTGCTTCTCGCACGGTATGTCCATCTTCTTGCAAAGGGCCAGCAGCCCCTGCTCGCTGACGCGTCCGGGCTTCTTGCCGATGATGTCTATGATCTCGCGCAGTCTGCGGCTTCGCTCTGCTTCGTCGGCGCGTCCCATGGCACTTGCGCTCATGCCCAAGCTGGACATGCCCAGCCCGCTCATGGTGATGCCCATGCCCACACCTCCCATGCCCGAGCTCGCGACGTCGTTGAGCATGTTAAGCACCGCGGGCGAGTCGTACGACATCATGTTGATATTGCCGGAGGGAGGGACGCTGCGTGGGGCGGGCGAGGAGAAGGCATTGAGGTGTCGCGAGGGCGTTTCTTTGTCTTTGGGCGTTGGCGTGGCCATGATGGCGTTGGTGAGTGCGCAGGGCACTGCGTGGATTAATTATGCAGTTGAGCGAGGGGTGGGTGTTACGATATCATGTTGCGTGCATATTCATGAAGCGAGGAGGAAAGGTGTTGCGCCCAAGGTACGCTCACGGTTGGTTGGCCTTGGCGTCCCAAGCAGGGCAGGGCGACCACCTCCAACTCAAGAAATGCATGCTGCCAAAGTATTGAATATGTTTCCATGTGAAAGCACGAATATATGCGCGGGGTATCATAACGCGACGCCTGGCCTAAGCCCAAAACCTGAACGCGAGCTCCATCTCCAGCTCCATATCCATTGTCCCAACTCAGTCCAACTCGACCACATCGTCCTCGAGAATCTCACTAAT